AAAATATCAATAAATAAAAATAATATTAAACTATAATATAAATTATTTATCATAAATAAAAATATAGTTTATATGTTTAAAAATATCTATTTATACAAATATTTTAAATATAATTTATATATTCAAATATAATATTTATTTGTATAATTTATTCTAAATTTTAATTATATATAATAATTACATTACTTATATATTATACAGATTAAAATACTAGTTATATTATAATTTTTAAAAAATAAACAAAAATAAAAAAATAGAGTAATTTTCTTTTTATTTTATTTTAATTTAGGAGGAAAATATTTTTGGTGGGCTATGTAGAAATTTTATTTTCTCTTCAAACAAATAGTAAAAATTTAATATTTATGTCTTGTATTTTTTTTTTCTTCCTATTTACTTTTACTTAATTTTCACTCAAATAAACAAGGATAAGCGAAATTATAGATATTTTTATTTTATTAGTGAGAAAAATACACTAGATATCTTTATTAAAAAAAATTATCTTAATAGTTTGTATGGTTATTAGATGTTTTTATTTTTTTTATTTGTTTTACAATCGAAATATAATTTAAAGATATTAAAGGTATTAGTTACTAAAAAGGACTGTAACACGTCAAAAAATTTTAAAAATCAAGATAATTTTTTTAATAGTCAGGAACTAGTAGAAATATTACAATTATCGTTAAAATGTCGGTCAAAATTGAAAAGCAATACGTTCATCACTTTGTTATTTCTCTTGGAATAGTGTAACAATTTTCCCCCCTTTTTAATTTTTTTATTTTATTTTGGTGTTGTCGTAGACATAATCATCAAGATAATTCTTATAGAAGAATGATAGTCAAATAAAATCTTATTTAAGCAAAATAAAGTATTTTTTTTAAGTAATTATAGTATAAATATAAAATATTTGTCGTTAAAAATAATGACTAATTTTTGTAAAATATAAATACATATAAAGTGAATATTTCATTCTCACATAATTTATTTCATACTCAATTTAATAAAACTTTAAATAAGGTTTTAATAAAGATAATTCAATAATTAATAAAGCCTGGTTTAAATATTTAATTTATAGAAAAACTGAAAGATTCAATTTAAATTCATTAATTTTAATTTAGATAGAATTAATTTTATTTCTAGCGATAGGGAACAAAATGATGATCTACCTTGCTTAACAAGTGAGAAATAATTTGAAACTATCTAATATGTGATTTTTATTCCATTCGACGAAAGTATTCTCTCTTATGGTTTACATGTAAAAGTTTTCAATTTTTTTTAAAGGATATAAATTATTTATGTTTCGACTTTTATTGTGTATGATTTTTTTTAGATAAATAATAATTATTATATTACGAACAAAATTAATCTTTAGTTTAATAGATTAAAGAATACTCATAAGACAAACAATATTATTTTATCACAAAACCTACTATAAACAAACCTATGTTATCATTGACAAATAGAATTTAAAAATAACGTGATAACTATATAATTAATCATGAAAGTAGAAAAGGAAAAAAAATAGTCATACTAACTAATTATTTCAAAATACTAATTATTTTTTGTTGCAAATTTTTTTTTTATTTATACTTTACACATTCAATTTGTTAGTTAAGTCTTTCGATATATTCCTCTTGAAATGATTAAAGCACTTATTAGTGTATTTACTTAAAAAAAAAAAGTACTTAATAATGTGATATCATTATATTATTCTGTTCTTTTATCTTTGCATTCATATACGTTTTGATTTGAATGGAAAAGTTTTATTAAAAAACTTCTTATAAATTAATCACATGAAAAATATAATGTAACTGTTACAACACCTACGAGTATCATTATTAATAATAATTTATAAAATTATCACAATTATTATAATTTTATGAAAATATCAATGATCATAATGAAACATCACAATTTAAAATTTTAAAACTTTGTTATTAACAAATTTCATCGATAATCATTAAAATTTAAAAACTGAATCTTTGATAAATAAGAAATATTTAGATTTATATAAGTAAATTTTAATAATTAAAATATCTGAAATTCTAATTTAATGGTACTCTTCTAACATCATAACTAAAACCACAATGAAATTAAAATAGATAATAACTTAACATTAAAAAATAAAAAAATGAAAAATAGAAATGGTAAATGGTCCTCAAAATGAATGTCGCTAATAAATTTCTAGTGATGGTTGATTATAAGATATATTTGCTATTTTTTATATTTAATATTTTGGAGGAATATGATTTAATTTGTTGCTAAAAACATTTTTTGAGAAATTTTTTTGAGGGAAGAAATTGTTCATTTATATATATAT